GGGGGGGGGGGAGGCTTCCCCAGCCTTAAGAGACCCTCTCAGCCCAGTGTCCCCCCAACCGCAAATTTCCAGGCAAGAACTAAGACCCTAGTCCCCATTCCCACCCCCTTACATGTGAAGTCTCTATCTAGGGAGTTGGGGATGGGAATACCCCGAAGAAGTGGATGATGGGGAGAAGATGTGGCCCTGGTGCTGTAGGCCACATCCTGATACCTACAAGTTCACCCCCACCCCAGAACTGCTGGAGAGAAATCCCAAGAGGTAGCACTCCTCTACTGTCCCATGAAAGATCCAGCTGGTTGGCTTCCAGCTCAGGGAGAGGGACACTGGTGCCTAACCTCACTGGTCCCTCTCCCAGGGGCCCCTGCGGAGGGCCGCATCCATAAATTTTCTTATGGAACTCTCCCAAGTCCTCTCCCCCAACTTCATTTGCTTCTCTCAACAACCTCATCTGCATTTTCTATTTCTATATGATACAGACTCTATATTGCTATATCTCTGTATATACTTTCCCCTAACTCTGTCTGTCTCTACCCCATCCCCTCTTGTCTCTAAGAACCATCCTCCCGCTCCAAGTCCCCCTTTCTGTGTTTCTACTCCCTCCCTGGTCTCTGAATGCCTTCGCCTGTATAAAGAGTTGGACTCTCTCCCCTGGTGTCTGTACTGTGTACACACATCCCTCTGAGAAGCACAAGGAGACGACACGCGCATTGTAACCTTCGCACTGTCTCGGTGGCGACATAAAGGAAGCTGTGAATCACAAGCTCTGCCTCTTTCTGGCCTCACCCTCTGCCCCCAACCCGGGCACCCTATGCCCTTCCCGTAGCCTTAACATTCCCTCCCCTGTTTCACAATCACAAAGCCCTTTGCCTGGCTGACTGTGGCCTCCCCAGGGAAGGGATAGCTGCGGAAAGAGACCCTGCCCAGGGAGTGGAGATCTGCTCTGCACACCAAGCCAAGGGTGTCAGAGACAAGGGGAACTATGGTCTTGTAGCTGGAGAGACAGAAGTTCAGGTCCTCAGCCAGTGACCTTTCCTTCCTTCTGGGTGCCCAGCCTCCTTTCCTCACCTGATACCTAAGCCCACCACTTCTATTTTCTGGTGAGGTATGGTTTGGTAATGGTGGGGAAAAATACAGGTTTAGAGGGGAAGTTGAAAGCTCTGCTCTTCTGTCTCTCCCTTCCTATCTTAATGAGAAATGAGTGAAGTAGAGGGCCTGCCATGCCCCCTCCCCCAGGCACTCCTCCTAGGCCAGAGCCCTACCCCTTCCCAGGCCTTCTCCGCCCAACTGTCTCTTGGTCTCCAACCCCAGAACAGGACCTGTGGCAGGTCACCTGTGCACTGCCTGGAGCTAGAGAGTGAGGCTATGGGATGTTGGGGGAGCTCTTGGTTCTTAGAAGTTCCTTGGAGATCAGACCTCTCCAGAGGGAAGCAGAAACAAGGCCAAGGGGTGTGCACCAGATGGAGAACAGCAGGCAGG